ATCCCAGCAGAAACCAGCTAGGGAAGTTGTGGCTGTCAGCTGGGGTTCTCTCCCTGACTGAGCTTCTCATGGCCAGACTTCCAGCTCTCCTTCCTTCTGTGGCCACTTTACTCTCACAGGGTGGGCGACAGCACCTCTGCTGGAAACCGCTTAGCTTCCTAGCTGCTTTCAAGAGTACAGTATTTTTACTTCTTTCCTTTTCTGGTCTTCCTTTCCTGTCACAGAGTTGTGTGTGTGTGTGGTGGGGGGAAGGGGGACAGACCATCCCTAGAAAAGTGGTCTCAAAGGATACTTTGAGACAAAATATGCCTTGGTCTGAAATGAGGGCATGGCAACCTCACTTTCAGAGACAGTTCCTCAAGTGAGTTCAAACAATACATGGCAACTTACCAGTATGTTACACACTTGAAGTAAAGTAAGTGTGTGTGTGTGTGAGTGTGGTGTGTGTGTGAGTGTGGTGTGTGAATGTGTGTATGAGTGTGTGTGCATGTAACTGTGTGTTTGAATGTGGGTACATATGTGTGTGTGGGAATGTGGGGTGTATGTATGTTTGTGTGTGTGAGTGTATGTGTGTGTGTGAGTGTGTGTGTGTGTGTGTGAGAGAGAGAGAGAGAGAGAGAGAGAGAGAGAGAGAGAGAGAGAGAGAGAGAGAGAGAGAGAAAGGAGAGGTACTGAAATCAGGTCCTCAGTAGATCGGCCTGAAGAACGAGGCTAATTAGTCAATCAGGGAGGGGACAAAGGTTGTATTCAAAGCTGGTAAGTATTTGTTGGGGTACAGAGGGTGCAGGTTCTAGACAACCCTGCAATTGGGAAGACAAAGGTGCTTAGGCACCAGCAGGTTCCCGAACAGTGGTGGGGAAGACTAGTTAGAAATGGGGAGCCAGAGTTCCTCACAGCAGAAGCCCTCTCTCACTCACTGTGACCTTGGGCTGACCTTTATCCTAACCCTGTTTCCTTCTGGGCTGTGGTGTGGGAGAAGATAAGGGAGAAAGCTGAGCACAAGGCAAAGCTTGTGGATGGCCGTTGTCACTTATCTGCCTTGAGGGGAGATCGCCACAGAGGACTGGCGTCTCGAGAGGCAATCTGATGCTCAGCATGTCTGTCCCACTGGTGGGGCTGTAGACAGAGCTGGGGTCTTCCCAGAGTTCCAGACTTAGTCTAGAGAGGGAGGTCCCCAATGTTTCCAGTGCTGCCCCTACTGGTCTGTTCTAGAGGTCCATCTTCACACTGGATATCCTCAGTGTGTTCCTAGGGTCTTCGCTCCCTACTATGCTGTGTAAGCAGGTGACTCAGGGGTCTATCGGGGCTTGGTGATTCAACTCTTAGGCAAGGAGCCTAGTCTGGCCTTTCCCAGAGCCGTATTACCCTATTCCCTGTGCCAGAAGTTCCACTGTCCTTTCTCTGCCCAGGGCCCCTGCTGAGGGGTACTTTGTTTGGCTTTAAGAAGCCAGTCACAATGGCAGCCCTAGCTTTGACTTGCCAGAGGCCTTACCCACCTGAGCCTCCTGCAGGCCCCGCCCCTAGGATCCCAGCTCCTCTTCCTGCGTCTTGTGAAAGGAAGCCCAGTGGGATGCAGCTGTTTCAACCGCTTTGTCTTCTTAGCAGAACCTTCAGATGCCACTCAGTGCAGATGCCAAAGGGTGACAGTCTCCACCAGCACACACCTGGGGTGACACCCATCCACTCGGGCGCTGCTCCCAAACCAGCAAGAGTCTGGAGGGAGAGCATGCATGCAACGGAATGTGTGATCCGAGGAAACAGGGTCTCCTAGCTTCAGGGACTGGAGAGATGCTCGTTTTGTAGAGTGTTTGCCGTGTAAGCATGAGGACCTGGGATTGGCAGCATCCACATAAACGACTGACAAGATGGCTTCAATGGGTAAAGCCCCCGCTGCCAAGCCTGACAATTTGAATTCGACACCCACATTATAGAAGGAGGGAACAGATTTGTTACACGAAAAATAAAAGACCCAGAGACTGATGTTGGGGTTCAAGCTTTAAGCTAAAGACCACAAAGGCAAAGCATCCAGCCACTGACTCTTGCCTCTGCCTCAGCTCAGACCAAAGGGGTGATCCTCAAACTGCTCTCCCCTTCACTGGCCCTCAGATCCACTCAGACGGCTTTGCTCTCCTCAACACGGCTAGAGACTAACTCTCAGACTGGATGCCTCTACCTTTTATACCTCTCAAGTCCTGGGATTAAAGGCACGTGATCCCAGGTGCTGAGATCACCTTTGAGTGAGCTGTTTCTTTTAGAACTTTCGTGTAGTCACTGTGCTCGGACAGAGATCTGTCTACCTCTTAATCCTGAGTCCTGGGATTAAAGATGTGTATCACCACTGCCTGGTATCTATAGCTTGAGGCTGACTTTGCTTTGAATCTCAGGCAAGCTTTAATAAATCATAAATAATGTATCACCGCTCAGATTCTTGCAAGTTATCCTCTGACCTCCACACATGCACACCCACACCCACATACACAGGGCACACAAATAAGGAATATGTCATTTAAAAGAGTTTGGCTGACAAGACAGATCAGCCGGTAAATCTGCTTGCTGCCAACCCTGATGAGATCAATTCAGACCCCAGCACCCTCATGATGGAAAGACAGCATCGACTCCAGCAGGTTGTCCTCTGACCTCCACAAGTGCTCCTTTAATTTTTTTAAAATAAAGACGTATGTATGTGTATGTGTGTCTCTGTGTGGGTATGTGCATGTGGGTGTCCACAGAGGTGAGAAGAGGGGGTCAGATTCCTTGGAGCGGAGCTGGAGTTACAGGTAGTTGTAAGCCACCCAAAATAGACTCTAGGAACCGAACTCACATTCTCTGCAAGATCAATATGTGCTCTTAACTTCTAAGCCATCCTTCCATCCCCAAATGCTATTAATTTAAGAAATGTGTTTATGGGTGTTTTGTGTGCATGTATGTCTGTCCACCACACATGTGCAGCCCTTGGAGGTTAGCAGGGTGTGTTGGCTCTCCCTGGGGCTGGGTTACAGCTGATTGTGAGCTACCATGTGGTTGCTGGGAATCAAGCCTGGGTCCTCTGGAAGAGCAGCCGGTGTTCTTAACCACTGAGCCATCTCTCTAACCCCCCACCAATGTAAGTTTTTAAAAACTGTAGTAGGAGTGTTGGTATATGTCTGTAGCCCCGAAGACCAGGGATCCCAGGGGCTTGCTGATTAGGCATCTAGCCAATTGGTGAGCTCCATGTTCAGTGAAATACCCTGTATTAAAAAATAAGATGCAGGCTGGAAGGATAGCTTAATCGTTAAAGGCTAGGCTCACAACCAAAAACATAAGTTGCTATATCCCTCTACACACACACACACACACACACACACACACACACACACACAGAGAGAGAGAGAGAGAGAGAGTTCTTCCTGTCTTCATCACCTAGGAGGTGATGTCCTTCAGCCCCTGCCAGCCTGGGGGGCTGGGGGGCCAGGGAGTGGCCCCGGGTTCTGGGTACCCCAGCTTTAGCCTTCTAACAGCTGTGCGGCCCAGAGGAGTGTGTCCTGGTGCAAAACAGAAAAGGATATGCAAAACTTGGGGTGAGGTACCTGGGTCCCTAGAGAACCAGCTCCCAGCAGATCTGTAGCTCATCCAACAGCTGCACCCGAACAGGTACAAGGACATGCTCATTCCCCCATGGGGAAGAATGGGAGAAGAGGGCCTGGACTGCAGAGAGACCACACCTCTCCCTGCCCTTTAGGGCTGGCCTGTGCCCAGCCCGGTGGGTCCTGATACCACATTCATGTTACCTTCAGCAGCATGCTCCCTCACCTAGGTGTCCCCTTTACTGCCCCAAAGCCTCCAAGTCTCCATCTCTATGCTTCTGCAAAGGCAAACCCTGAGCCCCAATGTTCCCAGAACGCTGCCAGCTCCCTCCGAAGCAAGTTCAGGTGACTTCAGAGAATGGCCACCAGGGGGCCCTCTAGGCACACATCTGGCAGGTCTTGGAGATTGGGTGAGGATCAGGCAGGTGGGCAGGCCACGTCATAGGTAGTATGTCCCTCACCCTCCTGCTGCTCTAAGTCTGTGTGTGCAGGGGTGCAGCAGTCTGTAGGGCTGCCCTGGCTGGAGGGGGATCCACAGGGTCTCTTAGGCTGGGTAGCGTGTGTGCTCCTGGTCCTGTGTGCTCCAAACTGCAGCTCTGGGTTGAATGCCCTTGCTTCCCAGACCGCCCAGGGAGCGGGAGACCCGGTGGGTGAAGTGCTGTGTAGAGGCCAGCTGGCTTTCCCTTTGACTCATGCTTTCTCAACCCTCCCCCCTTTTTCCTCTTTCATTCTGACCCATTTCTGGGCAAAACTTCTGCATCTATTCCCCAGTTAGCATGTTCTCATGATCAGGGGCCCCTAGAGCTAGCAGGGGGAGGATTAGACATTACCAAGGCAGATGTGGGGGAGGTTCCTTCAAATCCACCCAGGAAGGGAACGGGCTGCCGGTGTGGGTGAGGCTGGGGCAAGGGCCCCCGCCAGCCTGGCTTCACAAACAGGAAGGACAGCAGGCTCTGCCAGCCAGAAGCCTGTGGCCCCAAGCTGGCAGGATGGCCCCCTTCCTGCAGGTCCCCCCCCACTGCCCTCTGAGTTCCTGTCACCAGGAGAAAAGGTGGGGTGGGGCGAAAGGGGGTCTGCAGCCAGGGTGTGGCTCTCCTGGGGTCACCCTGCTTGGGGAGGGGGAAGAGAGGCGCCAGGGGCAGAGCCGGAAGGTCAGATATCACCGTGGTCATCTCACTAAGCACCAAGTGATTAGCAGGACAAGGGCGCACAGCTGCCCACTCCATGGCCACCTTCAGCTGTATCTCAAGCCAGCTAGATGGCTTCTGATGGCGCCCACACCCTCCCTTCCCCTTAAGGCATTGCGCAAACTCCCCACCACAGTCTGGAGGTTATACCCTGCGCCGGGGGGGGAGGGGATGGGCACCTCTGAGGTGCAAACAGCCACCTTCTCCTGCACTCGCCTCTGCCCCCACCATGGGTCTGCTGTCAGTTACTGGGTTCCTGCCTCAACATGGCAGCATGCCATGTGAGACTGTGGCTAGGGGACACCAGGGCTCCCGGGAGCCCAGCAGTGCAGCAGGACAGGACTGGGCGATGTGTAAGAGGCAGTCCCTAAGAGGGAAGCTGGGAAAGCAGACCAGTCTGGCCCACAGCTTCTGTCCTTCCGAACTCCTGGTCCGGTGCTCGGGGACACGGGCAAGGCAAGCTTGCTGTTCCCCATAAGGGACCCCACAGTGTCCTGGGGAGCCCTGGTGGGGATGGAGGAAGCTGAAACACCTGACTGAAAGCCTTGTACTGGCTGAAGCTTGGGGTGACCCTGCCAAGCCAGCCCACCATGGCCGGCCTGCACGGGGCCGTTACATCTCCAGATTAGGGTGTGAGGAATCTTAGCTCCAAGACATAGGTTAACCCACCAGGGCCAGCTGGACGGAAGCCAAATGAGCCTGGACCCGAGGCTGGGACCAGCCTTCCTGTTTCTGGGTTGGATGCCAACCCCCTGCCCACCAGCCTGCCTGTCCACGTCAAGGACACACAGACTCCTTCCCTTTCCAGACTGGAAAGCCCCCTCTTGGGGTAGCAGGAAGAAAGGAAGTGACCTGCAGCTCTTCCTAGTCCATCCAGGACCTCGGGTTGAGCCTACAGCTCAAGGTTTGTATGCCCACAGGTCTCCAGGCCGGGAGGGATGTGCATTCCCAGGCCTCCCTGAGTCTGCCCTTGAAGGCATGTGCTAAGTAAGGTCTCCTCGGACTGTGACGGGGCCCCTTTGTAAGGATTAAGATTCTGTGAACAAGGCAGTTCCTAGAGGTGGCCGAGGTGGGTGGGGCAGCCTCTGAGGACAGCATCCATCGATGCCCAGGGGTCTGTAAGAACAGCTCAGTGCGGGGTGGGGAAGTGAGTGTCACTGCAGGGAGGAGCCTCTGTGGCCTGCTGGGGGAAGTGCACTTGCTCTCTTCGGGTGTCCTGGGGTTGCATGGTGGACCACGGGTGGGGGTGCTCATCTGGAGAGGGGGCCGCTTCTGCTCGGAATGCTCACAATGGGGCTTTCCTTTTCCTGAGGGCAAGCAGGCACCCTGCTCCTCCTTCATGTGCCTGGCTGCTCATCTCTAGCAGGGCTGGGCAGGGGGCCCTGGCTGGGCCTTCTTCCTGTCTCTATTCCCTCTTCCAGCAGAGGATGGGGTGGGTGGGGTGGGGTTGGTTGATGCCAGAAACTGAAGGGATGGGGTGGGGCAGATGTGGGGAGGTCCCCGGCCTCCCTCACCTTGGTTAGATAAAATGAAAGCGGGAGGGCTGAGCTGAGGTGCAGCTGTGATTTCAGGGGCCTCTCCTGGGGAGGCTGCTGTGATTTGAAAACCTCGTTTCCTCGGGGGACTGTTCCAGAAGGCTGCGGATGAACCGTGCTGGTGGTGAGTACCTGGCCCTTGAGACATCCCAGGTGGGGATTTACAGGTGTCCCCGAGTCTAGCGTGACAGGGCCTCTCCTTTTTATCCCGCTTCAGGGTGCAACCTTACCCGGAGGCTGCGGGCCTGGGGGGGCCTGGCTGGAGGTGTAACACTCTTGGTCCTGTGGCTCCGTTGGCTGCTGGAATCCGCTCCTGTGGATGCCCCGATGCCTCAGCCCACAGTCACAATCCTCATCTGGCACTGGCCTTTCACCAACCGGTCCCCAGAGCTGCCTGGCGACACCTGTAGTCCCTATGGCATGGCTAGCTGCCGCCTGAGTGCTAACCGGAGCCTGCTAGCCAGTGCAGATGCTGTAGTTTTCCACCACCGTGAGCTGCAGACCTTGCAGTCTCGCCTGCCCCTGGACCAGAGGCCGCGGGGACAGCCTTGGGTCTGGGCCTCCATGGAATCGCCCAGCAACACCCATGGTCTCCATCACTTCCGAGGCATCTTCAACTGGGTGCTGAGCTATCGGCGTGATTCAGATATCTTTGTACCCTATGGTCGATTGGAGCCCTACTCCGGGCCTACGCCCCCACTACCGGCCAAAAGCAAGATGGCTGCCTGGGTGGTCAGCAATTTCCAGCAGAGGCAGCAGCGCGCAAGGCTGTACCGGCAGCTGGCCCGGTACCTGCAGGTGGATGTGTTTGGACGCGCCAGTGGACGGCCCCTGTGCGCTCACTGTCTGCTGTCCACTGTGGCCCAGTACCGCTTCTACCTGTCCTTCGAGAATTCGCAGCATCGAGACTACATCACTGAGAAGTTTTGGCGCAATGCGCTTGCAGCTGGTGCTGTGCCTGTGGTGCTGGGACCTCCTCGGGCCACCTACGAGGCTTTTGTGCCACCAGATGCCTTTGTGCACGTGGATGACTTCAGCTCAGCCCGTGAGCTGGCTATCTTCCTCGTCAGCATGAACGAGAGTCGCTATCAGCGCTTCTTTGCTTGGCGAGAGCGGCTCCGCGTGCGGCTCCTGGGTGACTGGAGGGAACGCTTCTGCACCATCTGCGCCCGCTACCCTCACTTGCCCCGCAGCCAGGTCTATGACGACCTTGAAAGCTGGTTCAAGGGTTGAACCTCCTGCGGCTGGGAGAGGCTGTGTGCGTGGAAGACTGTTGTAACCAAAGCCCTGGCATCCAGCCTCTTGGGTCCCTGTGGGACCAGCCTGAGGCTCGAGTTGGTGAACAGGAAGCAGGGATATGAGCAGAGCAGAGTGGGCAGGAGAAGCCATCTGGATGAGGAAGCTGGTGGACTTTAGGGATCCCGGGACAGGCACAACAGAGTGGAGGGAATTAATGGGCGTATCCTACAAACTAATCTAACAGGAAAGGCATTTGAGGGTCCCCAACTTACCTCGAACGCGCCCATGCTCAAAGCTCAGATGAAACGGAGTATTTCTGGAGCGGGGAACATCCCAGGCTGTGACTTTTGGGCACAAAACTTTAGGTCCCAGAAACCCCACAGAAAAGATGCTATCCTTAGGGGTGCAGGTGCATATTGTAGAACTCTGGGTGCAGACCACATGCTGGGTTCAGGGGTGTGTGGGTGTGGAGGAAGGACAGTGTGGCTGACTCTGGACTTTTTCACTACAGTCCCCTCAGGGAAAGAGGTGACACTAATAAAACGCTGACACAAATATCCTGGGTCAGGTCTGTGGGGCCGCAGAGGCCACCAGCCAGCCCTCCTCTGTTTACTCCTCTCCACCAGTCACAGGGTTGCTTGTTTACCCTTAACACTCCACGCCCCTCCCCGGGTCTCCAAAACCCACGGTGGTACAGACCTGGGAACTGAGGTCAAACTTAGCCGGGGCTGGAGGTGCCGTATGTCAGGTCTCAGGTTGGAGGGGTGTCCTGTATGGCAGGGCCTGACTAAGGGCGGGGATTCAGTGAGAACCCTGCTGCAAAAGGAGCCCCTTGTGTAGGTCTGGGAGTGAGGGGAGGAGATGTGGGTGAACCTATGAGTGTATGGTTGAGCTCCTGGGATGAGTTGGGGCTTGGGTTTGTCCGTGCCTTGGAGGTGGGGTGGCAGTGCCGGCAGGAAGCCCCCCTCTCCCCGTGGTTTGTGGGAAAGGCCTGCCCATGGCTTCCTGCCCTGACCCAGCCCCCCAGGGCTAACCGAGGAGAAGGAAGTGTCCTGGGACTGGGGGGCTGGGGGAGCGTTGGGTCGGTCCTCTCCCATCAGCCCTGGGGGCACCTCTCCTCAACGAAGGAGCTGAGAGACGATGGGAAGCTTTAGCCCTCAAAGGTTTTCATTCACTTGAAGAGCTTTCTGAGCGTCTCAGGCTGGACACTATACAGGCTCCACTGTCCCATTCACAGGTGGGACACCCAAGCTGGTAAACAGCCATCACACGTCACCCTCGGTATGTCCCCTGATTGCTGGAGTTAGCGGCCCTCTGCCGCCCCCTGCTGGTCATGTGCAGAAATGGGTCCTACAATGCTATCAATAGGCTCACCAAACACGAAACTCTGCGTGCAGGAAGAAGCCAGGCTTACGTGGATATAGGGGATGGGGTAACAACTAAACCATATATCGAAGGGACAGCCTGTCTTCCCAGTCGCCCCTGCCAGCAGGGAGTAGCTCTTGCCTTTTGTGCCTCCTCATTGTTAAGAGCAGCAGCCTGGGAAGTCAGCAGGCACAGTGCGTGACTCCTGTAAACTCTTCACACTAACGCTGTCTCAGCACCGCTTTGAATATAAACCCAACTTTCTCAGGCCAGAATTAGGGCGCTCTCACCCCTAGCAGTTCCCAACCCTTCACGTGGTGCATCTGTCTTGTGCTTGGTAAGCACTCCTGCTGCGGTTTGCTGAGCATCTCGCCCGCCTGGAAGGGACAGAGAGGCTGCACCCCTCAGAGCCCCATGCAACCTCAGCTTGCTTGTTCTAAACGCAACTAAAACTCTGTGAGAACGAAACCTGTTTGGATGCCCCTCGCCCCGCAGGCTCCCCAAGAGCTTGGTCCAAAGCTATCCCCACCTGCATGCTTTGTGTGTGTGTGTGTGTGTGTGTGTGTGTGTGTGTGACTTCCAGGCTCTGTAAAGCAAAATGCAATCTTCATTTCCTCCCGTGTCTCTCCTAACCGCTGAAGGTGCCCGACATTTCTCCTTTGTTTGTTTGAGTTTTAGACAGGGTCTCATGTAGCCGGGCTGGACCTGAATTCACTATATAGCCAAGTTTAACCTTGAATTCCTGATCCTCCTGCCTCTACCTTTTACCTTCCATGGACTAAAGTGTGTAGTTGTTCATTATTATTATCATTATCATCATCATCATTTAAAAAAATTTTTTTTGTTTTTCGAGACGGTTTCTCTGTGTACTCTTGGCTGCCCTGGAACTCACTCTGTAGACCAGGCTGGCCTCGAGCTCACAGAGATCCGCCTGCCTCTACCTCCCGAGTGCTGGGATTAAAGGCATGCGCCACCACCGCCCAGTGCACTAGGCTCTTCTTTAAATATCTAACTCAAGTTATGCTTGTTGGGCGGCACGTTGCATCCTGGAGCCTTGAGGTCACTGCTCACTCTACACAGATGGGATTCCGTTAATGGAGCAATGTCCTCCTCTGGGAGAAGGGCCAGCCTAGTGGTGACCTGATGGGGACCAAGCCTCCTTCGGTGTTGCAAGAGGGACAGTGGAACATCTTGGGAACTCCACCGCACAGATCTCCCAACTGGGGACACATATTTCGAGTCCCTTGGGAGAAGCATAGGGTGCCCAAGTTCTCCCCAGGCCTCGGAAAGGTGTGAGTCTACATCGATGCCGGCTGTGAGGAACCCTGGGAAGGCGGAATTACCGCTGGGTGGGCCGGGTGAGCTGCCAGGCCTAGTGCTATGCGCAGGTGCGGCGGGGCCTGGGCTCGGCGGGCCTGGGCGCCCCCTGGCGGGCACCCGAGCGCCGAGATTTCTTTAAGCGGGGGCGGCTGGCGCGGGCGCGGGCGCGGGTGCGAAAGCGAGTCGCTGGAGCTGCGGCCGCCGGGGCGGAGCCTGCGAGGAGCAGGTCCTGGACAGTCGAGCGCCCCGCCCCCGTGCGGGCGATGCCGAGCCGAGCGGCGGGCAGCGGGGCCCGGCGGGGCGTGCAGAGGAGCGGGCCGCGGCGTTGAGGCGGCGGAGCGCGGCCCGGCCATGGGCTTCCTGCACCAGCTGCAGCTGCTGCTCTGGAAGAACGTGACGCTGAAACGCCGGAGCCCGGTGAGCGACTCGCGCCCGTCCTCCGGGGCCCGCAGGCCGCGCACCCGCTTTGCCGGTGCGCTCCCAGCGTGCACGTGCAGTGGCCAGGCGCGCGCAGACCCCGGGGAGGGCGCCATCGGAGACCCTGTCCCCGGCCCGCTGCTTCCGCGGGCTTCCCGGCTTCGGGCAGCGGCTTTGGCTGTGCCCTCGCCCGCTGACACTCGCAACGCTCGCTCGCTCGGCTGAGTCACGGGCCGGCGCCCTTCGCAGCGCTCTCTGGCAGGCTGGGGTGGGGGCAGGTGGTCCCTAGACTTCAGCTCTGGCGAGGCCCCGGTTGTGCCCCGGGGCTGGGCCACAGCATTCAGCGTAGGGGCTGCGAGCCCTGGGCCCACCGCCTGTGGAGCCCCGAGGAGACCGGTCTCTTCATTCCCTTCACCGCCGCTCTGCCCTTGGGCAGACACCTTAGGCTGAAGATGGTACCAAGCAGCCTCGCCGCCGCCCTCTTCCTCCTCCGCTGCCTCCTTCTCTTCCTCTCTCGCCCTCCTCCCCCCTCCATCGCCTTCTCCTGCCCCCTTCTCCTTTCCTAACCCATCCTGACATGTCCACAACCCTCACTCCTGCGTTCCCATCCCTGGTTATGTCCTTGTGCCAGCTCGACCTGTCAAATCCCAGAACCTCAGGGCCACTTCCCCCCAACCCCCCAGGCACCGCCTCTGATTTCTCTTGCCTCGGGCCTCCCTAGGGGCTGGAGCCTGCTGAGCCGAGCTCGGCACCAGGCTTCTCAGTGCCTGCCTAGGGCAGCTAGGACATAAGAGTGTTGAGGTGGGAGTCTTGGATGAGGAACAGGATGGGGTAGGGGCATGGATGGCATTGGCCTTGTTGGTTTTTATTCCAGCCCCTGGCAGGCAAGGGCACCCAGAGAGTCTTGGGCCAGCAAGAGTATCTGAGGGCTCTTGGGATTTTGCAGGGTGGAACCAGAGAGTGTGGAGACCTAACGGATCCCCTTGGTAGCAACAATACTACTGTGTTCCTCTTTGAGTACTTCAGGTGCATAATAAGAAACTCTGGGCCATGGGCAGGATGGGTAGCAGTCATCACCATGGCCTGGCAGGATTCCTGTGGGCACCTGGCCCTGGCTAATGCCAGGACTGGGTACGTTCCCTGTCCTGGTTGTCCGGGGCTGGCTGGTGTGGGGTCTGAAGGAGCAGTCCTGTCACTCCGCTTTTGAGTCACCAGGGGAAGGGACACGGGGTAAGGATGTAGGCATGCCTTAGCGCTAGCCCCAAGTTGCTTGTCAGGAAGGCCCCTGCAGGGCTCAGGAGCGGAGGCTAAAACACAGTTCCTGCATCTGTGGGGAGCCACATGCCAGGCTGGAAGAAGAGGCCAGTGATTTGACAGTCACGCACAGGTGCTCACTGCCTTTTCCTAGGACTGACCTCTGCCTGCCCGGACCTTCCCAGGTTCCCATTCTTCAGCATTCCCAGAGACCACAGTGGAGCCTTAGCCTGTGACGGCCGTGAGGCACCCCAGTGGCTTTCTTCCTCCAGGGAGACGGTCTTTGCTGGGGTCAGGGACGAACCTGTGCAAAGTTTATGATCTGGGGGGTAGGGGGGACCCCAGGACCTCTGCCCTTCCTACTTCTTTCTCCCAAGTGCTGTGCCTCAGCGGCCCTGTTGTTGAGTTGTGCGTGGGACACAAGTCTACCCTGGCTCCCATAGGAGGCTCACCAGCATTGAGCAGCTGTGGTGGAAGTCCCCAACATCACACTTGGGTGCCACCTGCCCCCCCCACCACAGCAAGCGCTAGGCTTCAGGGAGGGCAGCTGAGGCCCCGGATTGGCATGGAGATCCTGGGGCAGTGTGGAAGCACTGGACTTTTCTGGAAGGACAGAGTCCTTAGGTCACTTGCTGTCACCCAAGTGGAACACCTAGGTATTGCTGGACCCGAGCTGCCTGCCTGTAACCAGATGCCCTGTGGTGCCCGCCACCTGCCTGCTAGGACTCTTCCTCTCAGCAACTCATGCGCAGACGTTGCTATAGTGATAGGGAGCCGGCCTGGCCTCTGCTGCAGTTACTCTGGCGGAGGTGCCCTGGGCAGGGTGGAGGTGCCCAGGGTAGGGCCTGGTGTGGGTAGGGCTGTCTCTTGAACTGTGGCCCCTGTCACCAGCAAGTCTGTATGAGTGAAGCATCCGTGTCCCGCAGCCCTGGGTGCACATATCAATATCACCTCCTCGACTGGCCCTGGACTCCATCCTGGCTGGAGAGGAGGTGGAGGCTGGCACAGGCTGAGGCGGGTGTGGGGTGTGGACACACAGCAGGGTGTTCTGCATCACAGAGAGCTATTGTCAGAGCACAGTAGGCACAGCCAGGAGCAGGCTGGGCATGGCCCCATACCACTCCTGGGTGGGGGGCCGACTTCAGAGGCTGCTTCAGATGGTGATGGGGGTGAAGGAGCTGATGTTACGGAGCCATGGCCGAGGACCACCTCTGGCGGTGGTGGGTGGGTCTCTTCCCTGTGGTCTCTGAGGCAGGAGCTTCCTGATATGTTTGCCTGGCCTTCCACCCTGAGCTGAGGTAGGGGCAGGAATCGAGGAAGCCCTCTGTTTTCCGGGAGACACTGGGAGGTGAGCCTGGGCCCCAAGGTTTTGGCACTTCTGGCATACCTTGCAACCTGGCCCTGAGAAGTCAGAGTAGGGAAAGAGGCTTTTGCCTCAGGGACTGTGTTTGCTGGAGGCTCAGGGCCCTGGTCACAGTCTGGGCCTTACTCATGCTAGGCCTCATCTCCCTGAGTTCAACAGAAAGTTATAAGGATGCTGCAGGAGAGGAGAGGAGAGGAGCGTGTAGGAGCTCAAGGCAGAGACCACATTTGGCAAGGATGACCTCCAAGATCCCACCCAGGTGGCTCAACAGGTTGTGAGGAATAAGAGGAGTTGGATAAACAAATGGGTTAGAGTTGACCACAAACTGGCCATTTGTCCCTGTTGGCCTTGGACCTCTTCAGAGGGTAGGTGCTCCATGGTTTGTCAGGCACAATCTAGGCTGGAAGACAAGAGACCGCACAACATCCAACATCTTGGTATACTGGGAGGGACGAGAACCTTGGCTGGACGTGAGAAACCAGTGTTGGCCTTCACGGCCACTGGGTACACGAGGCTGGGCTGGAGCTTCAGGGAGGCCGGGAGAAGGCAGGCCGGCCCGTGTTTGTCAGGCCCGGCCTGAGCAGGCTGTGGAGAGACTGCACACAGCCTCACATGTCCGCCCTTTCCAGTGGGTCCTGGCTTTTGAGATCTTCATCCCACTCGTCCTCTTCTTCATCCTGCTGGGGCTGCGGCAGAAGAAGCCCACCATCTCCGTGAAGGAAGGTGAGGTGCAGGCATACCCTGGGCACGGGGGTGGGCAGGGAGGGCTGAGCGTCCTCTGTGTGCACGTGTCCCCGTCCCCAAGACTCCCTGAGGCCGTGACTCAAGTGCCTGCTCCCCATGTGGTTCTGGTTCTGGCCACATGCCTTGGCTAAGGCTGCGGAGGTCAGGCCTGGCCACTGTGGCCGTGATGATGATGGTGCCTGTTTCTGGAGGGTTCAGGCATTCACTAGTTTCCTCTGTTCTGTTTTGACCCCACCCCCACCCCTGCATGGTCTCTTGTCCTCCTCGGCCCGGCCTGCATGCAGTCTGTAAGTGAGCAGCCATCTCCGCCTTGCTGGCTCAGGTGGCAGCCATGGATGTCCTGGCAGGTCCTCCTGGTGCGGCTTAAGCACCCCTACTGCTTGCATTAACAGCCTCCCAGCAGCTGGGTCCCGTAGAAGCCCCTGCCTGTGGTCAGGAAAGGCTGGCTTATGACTCAGGGTGGCGGGCTGTGATGTGGGAGGTGGGGGGGGCAGCGAAGGGCCAGGCCACCTGGGCCCTAGCTGGTACCCTGGCCAAGCCATTGGAGTATCTCCTCGGCAGGGTACCTGTGAGGTCGCCTGGCCATGCTTCCTAGGGGTGGGGTTCCTGGGTTGAGCCTGGGCTAGCCTGGGCTAGCCTGAGATGAGACTGGATTGGCCTGCAGCTTTCACTTCAGACTCCTTTGAGCTGATGCACTCACTCTGCTAACCAGTTGGCCTGAGAGGTCAGAGGTCACTGCCAAGGGGCACCTCATGTGCTACCCTGGCCTCTGTGGGAAGGAGGATTGTTGGGGCGTGTGGGATGTGCTGGGGGTTGCAGGGGAAGGGACGGCAGGCGGCCCTCTGACCTCTGACCTTCAGAGTCGTTTGCCTTAGCACAGCTGGGGGTCAGGTGCCCTGTGCCCCAATCCTAGTATGCCCGAAGCTGCCTTTCCTTCCCAGCTGTCTTCAAGTGTCTCTCTTGGCCCTGTCTCCCCCATTCCCGACTCCACCAGCTTTCTACACCGCGGCACCCCTGACGTCTGCTGGCATCCTGCCCGTCATGCAGTCACTTTGCCCTGATGGCCAGCGCGACGAGTTCGGCTTCCTGCAATATGCCAACTCCACGTAAGTGCCCCCACCCCACGCCTTGGGAGCCAGCGACCCCCTGCCCCGACACCATAGCGAATGGCTGATGTCTCGTGGCGTTGCAGGGTCACCCAGCTTCTAGAACGCCTCAACCGGGTAGTGGAAGAGGGCAACTTGTTTGACCCAGTGCGGCCCAGCCTGGGCTCAGAGCTTGAGGCCCTGCGTCAGCATCTGGAGGCTCTCAGCTCAGGCCCTGGCACCTGGGAGAGCCACTCGGCCAGACCTGCAGGTGTGCCCTGTACGGGGATGGCTTGGGGGAGGGCCTAAGCACTGCTGTCACTGGAAACCTGCCTGCTCCACCACTCCGGGTCACAGCCTGCCTCTGGTCCTGGGTCCTTGTGTCCGCACCATGTTGTCCCTTTCCTGTGTGCTCGGGGCAGGCCCAGGGCAGTGCTGGTGGCTCTGCTCGGAGCCTATCTGGGACACCTTAGCCCCAGCTAGAGCCGGCCCCTCAGTCCCATCCTCCTGCCTGTCCAGTGTCCTCCTTCTCTCTGGACTCGGTGGCCAGGGACCAAAGGGAGCTTTGGCGTTTCCTGATGCAGAACCTGTCACTGCCCAACAGCACGGCCCAGGCCCTCCTGGCTGCCCGTGTGGACCCTTCCGAGGTGAGGCGGGAAGTGTATTGGTGGTAGCCACACCCCTTTGTCCTCCCCATTGCTTCTGGTTATAGCCATGAGTGAGGGGCTTCAAGTGTATCTGAGCTCCTCTCCGGGCTTTGGAGCCCCTACCGAGCCAGACCCTTCACCAATGCAGGTTTATCACTTGCTTTTTGGTCCTTTTCCTGCCCTGGATGGGAAGTTGGGCTTACTCAGGAAGCAGGAGCCATGGAGCCGCCTGGGTAGCAATCCTCTGCTCCAGATGGAGGTAAGGGGCCTGGCCCCGGGAGATGGGCGGAGGAAGAGGCTCCCCCTTGGTTACGCATGCATTCTGGGGATCTGTGGTGTGCACGGGGAAGTGGAGGCAGGATGGTGACTTGAGCGCTCCCGAGGCACCGTGGAACCCTGGCGCGGGCCCACACAGTGCATGGGCAGGGAGAAGTCTTGTGCTGCGTTAAGTAGGCCCTTGGTCATTTCTTGTTTGGAGTTCAGGTTTTACCAGTCCCCTTTGCCTTGCCCCCAGGAGCTGCTGCTGGCTCCTGCCCTCCTGGAACAGCTCACCTGTGCGCCAGGCTCTGGGGAGCTGGGCCGGATTCTTACCATGCCTGAGGGCCATCAGGTAGACCTGCAGGGCTACCGGGATGCTGTCTGCGGTGGGCAGGCTGCAGCTCGTGCCCAGCGCTTCAGTGATCTGGCCACTGAGCTCCGGAACCAGCTGGACATGGCCAAGATTGCCCAGCAGGTGAGGTCCTGCCTGCTAGTTGGCCAGCAAACCTGCTGACCAGCCTGGAGGAGGTGCTGGGGCTACGTGGGGCCTGAGGGTGGGAGGCTCCTGTTCCCAGGCCATGCATGGCTTGTCATTGAGCATTCGATGCCCTCTACCCAATTTCAGGCCGCAGTTCCTTCCCATGTCTCACCCCAAGCTATAGCACTAGCTCTGGCCAGGACTTGCTAAACTGCGGGCCCTCCCTCATCCTCCCAAGCACTGTCCCCTGCTAATACCCTGCCTGTTCCATTCCCGAGCTTAAGTCACTTACCAGAGTCACCTCCAGCCAAGTTCACCCTGTCTGCTAGCCTGCATTTTCCATATGCCTTGTTGTCCCCTCAGCTGGGCTTGGATGTCCCCAACGGCTCAGACCCCCAGCAGCAGGCACCATCCCCACGGAGCCTGCAGGCACTCTTAGGGGACCTGCTGGATGCTCAGAAAGTTCTGCAGGATGTGGATGTCCTGTCAGCCCTTGCCCTGCTGCTGCCCCAAGGTGCCTGCGCTGGCCGGGCTGCCGCCTCTCAAGCTAGTGGCCCGAGTGGAGTGACCAATAGCACTGGGACAGGGGCAAGCACAGCTTCCAACGCCACCGCTGAGGAGAGCACCCAGTCGCCTGTAACCCCGGCGTCTCCCGACACTCTGCAAGGCCAGTGCTCAGCCTTCGTGCAACTCTGGGCAGGCTTGCAGCCCATCTTGTGTGGTAACAACCGGTAGGTGGGCAACAGAGGGACGGAGGGAGGAGAGAGCCGTGGGGGAGTTAACCCCATTGCTCGGCCCTTGTGCGTAGACTCTATTCTGGAAGTCCCACTTACTGTCTGCCCCTACACTTAAGCCTACCCCATTCCCTGACTCGACGTCCCACTTTAGCCTGATGCTCTGTTCCTACGCCCTGGCCCTTGGCTTCTGTTGAGCCGCCCCAAATGTCCCTTCCCACTGGTCTTGATGTCTTTGCCCTGCCCCTGGTGCTTCGTCTCCGTCAGTACCATTGAGCCTGAGGCGCTTCGGAGGGGCAACATGAGCTCCCTGGGCTTCACAAGCAAAGAGCAGCGGAACCTGGGTCTTCTCGTGCACCTCATGACCAGCAACCCCAAAATCCTGTACGCACCAGCGGGCTCTGAAGCCGACCGCGTGATCCTCAAGGTGGGTCTGGCGCATTTGGGTCATGAGTTTTGCCTGTCTCCCTGAGTGGGGTTCTGTGTGCCCGGGACTCTGGGCGGGATGGATGAGAGTTAGGGTTGACTTCCCAGACCCTGGGTAGCGGTGTGCCTGGCGCGGGGGTCCCAGAGCCGGAGGTGCAGTGGCACTTGGCAGCTTTTCTGTTGAGAACTCCTGAGGGTCCCTGCAGAGATGCATTGGAAGGGCTGGCTGGTCTGGCTAGAGTGTCCTCACCCCTCACCATGCTGACTGGGCCAGGGTGCCGTGTTCAGAGACGCCCCACACACTCACACACCAGTAGCATCGAATGAGCAGAGTGCACGGAACATGGATGCCTGGGAGGAGAGTTTGTTGGAACGGTGTAAGTCAAGAGTGGAAATGCCAAGGCCTTGACCTCGGAGGGGTTTTTTTGGGGGGGGAACGGGATGAAGGTCAGACTTAAGTGCTCAAGGGGCATGTGGAAGGCTACGAGGAAGGATCTGGAAAAGCATGCATGGCTTCTGAGGTGGGATTTAAGGAGGCCTTGTTGCTGTGGGTCATGGCAAATGAATTTTGTGTGGGTGCCTTAGAAGGGCGAGGCGTTTAACCTTCAAGCAGAAGTCTGGCCTGAGTAGGGCTACTACTTGGGCTGGTCTCGCAGACTGGCTTGGATCCTTTCGGAGCCCCATGCCTCAAGCTTTCATTCTCCGCAGGCCAATGAGACCTTTGCCTTTGTGGGCAACGTGACCCACTACGCCCAGGTCTGGCTTAACATCTCTGCGGAGATCCGCAGCTTCTTGGAGCAAGGCAGGCTGCAGCAGCATCTCCACTGGCTGCAGCAGGTGCTGTGGGTACCAGGTGGGTGGGCACCTGTGGTGGGTTCCTCTGCTCGGAGCCGAAAAGCGCGAGCCGTGCCTGAACGCGACCCCTCTGCTCCAGTATGCGGCTGACCTGCGGCTGCACCCTGAAGCCATGAACCTGTCGCTGGAGGAGCTGCCACCTGCCCTGCGCCAGGACAACTTTTCGCTGCCCACTGGGACAGCCCTCCTGCAGCAGCTGGACACAATTGACAACGCAGCCTGTGGCTGGATCCAGTTCATGTCCAAGGTGGGGAGGGCGGGGCGCCGTTCATGTCCAAGGTGGGGAGGGCGGGGCGCCGTTCATGTCCAAGGTGGGGAGGGCGGGGCGCCGTTCATGTCCAAGGTGGGGAGGGCGGGGCGCCGTTCATGTCCAAGGTGGGGAGGGCGGGGCGCCGTTCATGTCCAAGGTGGGGAGGGCGGGGCGCCGTTCATGTCCAAGGTGGGGAGGGCGGGGCGCCGTTCATGTCCAAGGTGGGGAGGGCGGGGCGCCGTTCATGTCCAAGGTGGGGAGGGCGGGGCGCCGTTCATGTCCAAGGTGGGGAGGGCGGGGCGCCGTTCATGTCCAAGGTGGGGAGGGCGGGGCGCCGTTCATGTCCAAGGTGGGGAGGGCGGGGCGCCGTTCATGTCCAAGGTGGGGAGGGCGGGGCGCCGTTCATGTCCAAGGTGGGGAGGGCGGGGCGCCGTTCATGTCCAAGGTGGGGAGGGCGGGGCGCCGTTCATGTCCAAGGTGGGGAGGGCGGGGCGCCGTTCATGTCCAAGGTGGGGAGGGCGGGGCGCCGTTCATGTCCAAGGTGGGGAGGGCGGGGCGCCGTTCATGTCCAAGGTGGGGAGGGCGGGGCGCCGTTCATGTCCAAGGTGGGGAGGGCGGGGCGCCGTTCATGTCCAAGGTGGGGAGGGCGGGGCGCCGTTCATGTCCAAGGTGGGGAGGGCGGGGCGCCGTTCATGTCCAAGGTGGGGAGGGCGGGGCGCCGTTCATGTCCAAGGTGGGGAGGGCGGGGCGCCGTTCATGTCCAAGGTGGGGAGGGCGGGGCGCCGTTCATGTCCAAGGTGGGGAGGGCGGGGCGCCGTTCATGTCCAAGGTGGGGAGGGCGGGGCGCCGTTCATGTCCAAGGTGGGGAGGGCGGGGCGCCGTTCATGTCCAAGGTGGGGAGGGCGGGGCGCCGTTCATGTCCAAGGTGGGGAGGGCGGGGCGCCGTGTCCTCAGTTCCCCGGTGCGCTTTCAGGGCCAGCTCCAATGTAGCGCCTTTTCCAGGTGAGCGTAGACATCTTCAAGGGCTTTCCTGATGAGGAGAGCATTGTCAATTACACACTCAACCAGGCCTACCAGGATAACGTCACAGTGTTTGCCAGTGAGTCCCTCCCCCTCCCTCAAAGATCCTGTGTCTCCCACAGACCTACTTTCTCACCGGCTCAGGCCCACCCTGTCCCTTACCATGTCCCCTGTTAGCTTCCTGCTCCTTAGCTCAGACCTCTCCCCACATCTCTCCCTTTCTCCCTGGCCCGCCTCACTTCGGTCCCCACACGCCACACGCTGGCCCTGCCTCATCCCCGTCACTCTTCAGCCCTACTCCGCCTCTGTCTAAGACAGCTGGCCTGTCCCATCGTCTGTCCTGGAGTGCTCACCTCATGGTACGCCCACCCCTTCCATGCCCTGTGGCCACACTCCACCAGCCTCCTGTTCCCAGGTGTGATCTTCCAGACCCGGAAGGACGGCTCCCTCCCTCCCCACGTACATTACAAGATCCGCCAGAATTCAAGCTTCACTGAGAAGACCAACGAGATCCGACGTGCTTATTGGCGTCCGGGGCCCAATACCGGTGGCCGCTTCTACTTCCTCTATGGCTTCGTCTGGATCCAGGGTGAGGGTCAGAGCCCAGGTGGGATGTGAGGGGGGCCTGGCCTTGCCCTGATACAACTTCTACCCACAGACATGATGGAACGTGCCATCATCAACACGTTTGTGGGGCACGACGTGGTGGAGCCTGGCAACTACGTGCAGATGTTCCCATACCCCTGCTATACCCGTGACGAGTGAGTACCAGCCTACAGAGGTTTGGGGGGAGTGTCTCAAGCCCACACCCCTGCCAACACCTGCTTCCCCTCAGCTTCCTGTTTGTCATCGAGCACATGATGCCACTGTGCATGGTGATCTCTTGGGTCTACTCTGTGGCCATGACCATTCAGCACATCGTGGCTGAGAAGGAGCACCGGCTCAAGGAGGTGGGTCTGGGTGGCTGCCGGTAGCCCCTTCCGGCAGGCCGTGGGGAGGGCAGTGCGGTCCTTTTCCTTCTCTGGCCCCTGCCCCAGGGAGCCTGGTCTGCTGCCCCACCCCACAGGTGATGAAGACGATGGGCCTGAACAATGCTGTGCACTGGGTGGCCTGGTTCATCACGGGCTTTGTGCAGCTGTCCATCTCAGTGACAGCTTTGACTGCCATCCTCAAGTACGGCCAGGTGCTCATGCACAGCCACGTACTCATTATCTGGCTCTTCCTCGCTGTCTATGCCGTGGCCACTATCATGTTCTGGTGAGTACTGCGGGGAACTGGGACACCCCAAGGACAGGCATAGTCTTCTCTTGGAGCAGCTTTGGGCCCCAGGAGGGGCGTCCCTGGTGGGCTGTAGGCCAAGAGCCACGGGTCTCAGAGCTGACAACTGTGTGGCCTCCCATTCCAGCTTCCTGGTGTCCGTGCTGTACTCGAAGGCTAAGTTGGCCTCAGCTTGCGGTGGCATCATCTACTTCTTGAGCTACGTTCCCTACATGTATGTAGCGATCCGGGAGGAAGTGGCCCATGATAAGATCACTGCCTTCGAGAAATGCATTGCGGTGAGGATTGTGGCCTGGCAGGGTCGGGGTGGGTCGTCCATCCCCTGCCTACCTACTGACACCCCTCTTTCTTCAGTCTCTGATGTCCACAACCGCCTTTGGCCTGGGCTCCAAGTACTTTGCACTGTATGAGGTGGCAGGTGTCGGTATCCAGTGGCACACATTCAGCCAGTCCCCGGTGGAAGGGGACGACTTCAACCTGCTCCTTGCTGTCACCATGCTTATGGTGGATACGGTGGTCTATGGCGTGCTCACTTGGTACATTGAGGCTGTGCACCCAGGTACAAGCCCGTCCGTGGAAGGACCAGGGGTGGGGCAAAGCCGCCGGGCTTCCGCCTCCCTCTTGCTGGCATTTGACCCTTGTGGTGGGTAGTCACCTCCAGACCCTCAGTCAGCTCTCCCCTCGTTGACCCCCAGGCATGTATGGGCTGCCCCGGCCCTGGTACTTCCCACTGCAGAAGTCCTATTGGCTGGGCAGTGGGCGGGCAGAGGCCTGGGAGTGGAGCTGGCCGTGGGCACACACACCACGCCTCAGCGTCATGGAAGAAGACCAAGCCTGTGCCATGGAGAGCCGACACTTCGGTGAGGCCAGGGCCAGAACGTTGAATGGGGTGGGTGCTGGGTTTGGGGGCCTGGGGTGGCCTTAGTGCTGCCCCCGTCCTGCTGACCCAGCCCTGGTACAGAGGAGACGCGCGGTATGGAGGAGGAGCCCACCCACCTGCCCTTGGTCGTCTGTGTGGACAAGCTCACCAAGGTCTACAAGAATGACAAGAAGCTGGCCTTAAACAAACTGAGCCTCAATCTCTACGAGAACCAGGTGGTCTCTTTCCTAGGCCATAATGGGGCTGGCAAGACCACTACCATGTGAGTGCTTAGGGGTGGGAGAGCTTAACTCACAGGAGGTTAGGGTTCCCTTGGGGTGTGGTGGGTTGTGACCCCAGTCGCCCCTGCTCCAGGTCTATCCTGACTGGACTGTTCCCACCCACGTCGGGCTCAGCCACCATCTACGGGCATGACATCCGCACGGAGATGGATGAGATCCGCAAGAACCTGGGCATGTGCCCACAGCACAACGTGCTGTTTGACCGGCTCACTGTGGAGGAGCACCTCTGGTTCTACTCACGGCTCAAGAGCATGGCGCAGGAGGAGATCCGCAAAGAGATGGACAAGTGGGTGCAGTGATGGGCAGACGGGGTGTGGGTGGGGTGTGGGGTGTGAGCAGAGGCGGGGGCCGCGGACACTCAGGGAGGCTCGTGCCTGTCACCCTTGTTTACCGCTCTCCTGTCTATCACCCCCCCCCCACTCATCGCCCTCCTATGCCTTGACCTCCTGCTGGGTCCACAGGATGATTGAGGATCTGGAGCTCTCCAATAAGCGGCACTCGCTGGTGCAGACGCTGTCGGGAGGCATGAAGCGCAAGCTCTCTGTGGCCATCGCCTTTGTGGGTGGTTCCCGAGCCATTATCTTGGATGAGCCCACTGCCGGCGTAGACCCCTATGCTCGCCGCGCCATCTGGGACCTCATTCTCAAGTACAAGCCGGGTGAGTAGGATGCCGGGCTTGCCGTAGTCTGTGTGGGTGTCTTTGCCTGCCCCTGTGCCTTCCCCTTACCTTGGATCTGGACCCGCCCCAGGCCGCACCATCCTCCTCTCCACCCACCACATGGATGAGGCCGACCTGCTGGGGGACCGCATTGCCATCATCTCCCACGGGAAGCTCAAGTGCTGCGGCTCTCCCCTCTTCCTCAAGGGCGCCTATGGTGACGGGTACCGCCTCACACTGGTCAAGCGTCCTGCAGAGCCTGGCACCTCCCAAGGTCTGCATTGAGACTGCTTGAACTAACCGTTGGTCCTCCCTGCCCCATGGCTCCCTCCTAGGGGAAGTGTATCCCTATCATCGCTCCCTGCCTAGGGGAAGTGCGTCCCTATCCTCACCCCATCAGGACCAGATACCTGGTGGACTTGGATACCTCAGGGCCCCATCTTGAAGACTGCTTGCTAGGTTCCCACTGAAGCTCCTTCTTCCTCAGCCTCCTCCCCCCAGTGAATCCCCGTCTGCTCCTCTTCCTTCCTTCCCTCCCAGAGCCAGGGCTTGTATCCAGCCCCCCAGGTCGTGCTCAGCTGAGCAGCTGCTCGGAGCCTCAGGTGTCCCAGTTCATCCGCAAGCATGTGGCCTCTTCCCTGCTGGTCTCAGACACTAGCACTGAGCTCTCCTACACCCTGCCCAGTGAGGCTGTCAAGAAGGGGGCCTTCGAGCGCCTCTTCCAGGTTCGAGGGCTGAGCGTGGTGGTTGGGACGTGGCGTGCCCATAGGGAAGATGAGCTCACCCCTGCCTCCGTCCTGTGGCGCTGGCCTCACCCAGCTTCTTTGCAGCAATTAGAGCACAGCCTGGATGCATTGCACCTGAGCAGCTTTGGGCTGATGGACACAACCCTGGAGGAGGTGTTCCTCAAGGTGTCTGAGGAGGACCAGTCACTGGAGAACAGTGAAGCTGGTGAGAGAACCCGCAAAGGGCCCCTGGGTTCATTGCTCCTCCTTGGTCTCTGGAAGTGGGTTTCCCCTGGCTCCGTGTAGGCTCATGTTGGGTAGCCACAGGTCCTGAATGGGTATATTAACTGGAAGCTGGGATCAAGTCAGGGCTTGGGGTAATGGGTGGGCAACAGGGATTGAGGTACTGAGTTGTCCTGGGGTGCTGTGGCTCCAAGCCCTCCCTCCTCCCTCCCCGCCTATGTTCTTTGCAGATGGGAAGGAATCCCGCAAGGACGTGCTGCCTGGGGCAGAGGGCCTGACGTCTGTGGAGGGTCAAGCCGGCAACCTGGCTCGGTGCTCGGAGCTGGCCCAGTCACAGGCATCACTGCTGTCTGCATCCTCTGTGGGTTCTACCCGTGGTGATGAGGGCGCCGGCTACGCTGATGTCTACGGTGACTACCGTCCCCTCTTTGAGAACTTGCAGGACCCAGACAATGTCAGCTTACAAGGTGGAAGCTGCTGGGGAGGTCGGGGAGGGTCCAGAAGGGTGGCACGGCACCGCTGCTCACCCCTGCCTCTCTGCACAGAGGCAGAAATGGAGGCCTTGGCACGGGTAGGCCAGGGGAGCCGCAAGCTGGAGGGCTGGTGGCTGAAGATACGGCAGTTCCACGGGCTCCTGGTGAAGCGCTTTCACTGTGCTCGCCGGAACTCCAAAGCACTCTGCTCTCAGATCCTGCTGCCTGCCTTCTTTGTCTGCGTGGCCATGACTGTGGCGTTGTCTGTTCCCGAGATCGGTATGGCTGGCTGGCCTCATGCGGTGTGGGGCAAGGCTATCTACTATCTGGCATTTGGGTTCTTGGCTTCACTTTCTCCCCAGCCTCCTGGAGATCCTTCTCCATGCCTCCCCCAGTACTCTGAACCTTATTCAGGGGCTCACGAAAAGGGTTCTGCCTCCTGGGGATTCATGCCCCCGAAGCTTGCCCTCTCTCATGTCGGGAAGAGGGCATGAAGATCTGGGGCCCGGCATCAGGTGATTGGAGCCCACTCAGCCGGTCTCATGCTCACCCACCAGGTGACCTGCCTCCACTGGTCCTGTCGCCTTCCCAGTACCACAACTATACCCAGCCCCGTGGCAACTTCATCCCCTATGCTAATGAGGAACGCCGGGAGTACCGGTGAGGCCACGGGCTGGGGCTGTAGCTCAGGGGAGGACAAGGGTTGAGATGCATAGCCCCTAACTCACCGCCATCCCCTTAGACTGCGGCTGTCGCCTGATGCCAGCCCCCAGCAGTTGGTGAGCACCTTCCGGCTGCCCTCCGGCGTGGGCGCCACTTGCGTGCTCAAGTCTCCCGCCAACGGCTCCCTGGGGCCCACGCTGAACCTAAGCAGCGGAGAGTCCCGCCTGCTGGCTGCACGCTTCTTCGACAGTATGTGCCTGGAGTCCTTTACCCAGGGGCTGCCACTGTCCAACTTTGTGCCACCCCCACCCTCGCCTGCCCCCTCTGACTCACCTGTGTCCCTGGACGAGGACTCCCTGCAAGGCTGGAACGCCTCCCTGCCACCCACTGCTGGACCAGGTACTGTCTCACGGAAGGCTGCTGGGGGCATGGCCGCGAGTAACCCGTCTGACTCTGCTGCACTGTGCCCACAGAGACATGGACATCGGCACCTTCGCTGCCACGCCTCGTACGTGAGCCTGTCCGCTGTACCTGCTCTGCACAGGGCACGGGCTTCTCTTGCCCCAGCAGTGTGGGTGGGCATCCACCCCAGATGAGAGTAGTCACGGGTGACATCCTGACCGACATCACTGGCCACAATGTGTCTGAGTATCTGCTCTTCACATCTGACCGCTTCCGGCTACACCGGTGAGCTGGCCCGGAGTGGCTATGAACCAGGGGTGGCTGGCTGATGGCTGCCTGGCCTCATCATCCCTCCAACCTGTCTTGTACAGATACGGAGCCATCACCTTTGGTAATGTCCAGAAGTCCATCCCAGCCTCCTTTGGTGCCCGGGCCCCGCCTATGGTGCGGAAAATCGCCGTGCGAAGGGTGGCACAGGTAAAACGCTGCCCTGGGGTCCTTGTCACCTGGCCCTAGGCATAGTGACTCTCGGTCTAGAGCCTCTCTGAGCCCCTTGTCCTTCTCCAGGTGCTCTACAATAACAAGGGCTACCATAGCATGCCCACCTACCTCAACAGCCTCAACAATGCCATCCTGCGTGCCAACTTGCCCAAGAGCAAGGGGAATCCCGCAGCCTATGGTGAGGAAAGTCAGGGTTGAGGGATGGGGAGGGTGCAGCTGAGCCAGAGTGGTGCGTGGGCCAATGCTGCCTTTTCTGTGTGCAGGCATCACTGTCACCAACCACCCCATGAACAAGACCAGTGCCAGCCTCTCCCTGGATTACCTGTAAGTGAGGCAGACTGACCTGGGGGGCGCGGCAGGACCCACTGTGGTCCTGGCCGGCCCCTGGAATTGAGCGCTGTCCTCTTCTAGACTGCAGGGCACAGACGTGGTCATCGCCATCTTTATCATTGTGGCCATGTCCTTCGTGCCAGCCAGTTTCGTGGTCTTCCTCGTGGCAGAGAAATCCACCAAGGCCAAGCACCTGCAGTTCGTCAGCGGGTGCAACCCTGTCATCTACTGGCTAGCCAACTACGTGTGGGACATGGTGTGCCCCCGCATGGTCCCTCCCTGCCCCTGTCTCCCGTCTCCATACCCAGCCCTCACCATCTACCTCTGCCTCGCAGCTCAATTACCTGGTCCCAGCCACCTGCTGTGTCATTATCCTCTTTGTGTTTGACCTGCCGGCCTATACCTCGCCCACCAACTTCCCAGCGGTGCTCTCCCTGTTCCTGCTCTACGGGTAAGCTGGGGGAGGGCGTGGGGCAGTACGGGTGTGGCCGGGGGTACCTGTGACCGCTGCTATCTGCCCACAGGTGGTCTATCACACCCATCATGTACCCAGCCTCCTTCTGGTTTGAGGTCCCTAGCTCCGCCTATGTGTTCCTCATCGTCATCAACCTTTTTATCGGCATCACAGCCACCGTGGCCACCTTCCTTCTGCAGCTTTTTGAGCATGACAAGGTAAGTGAGGGGTGGCTGAGCACCGGGGGATGGCCTGGGGCAGCAATGCTGAACTGTGCCCGGCCCCCAGGACCTGAAGGTTGTCAACAGTTACCTGAAAAGCTGCTTCCTCATCTTCCCCAACTACAACCTGGGCCATGGTCTCATGGAGATGGCCTACAATGAGTACATCAATGAATACTACGCCAAGATCGGTGAGTCTGCACTAGGTGAACAGTGGAGAGGCCCTCGGGGGGCCACAGGGGCGACTCGGTGAGTTCCAGTGCTGGGGTGCCTGGGGCTTCCTGAGGTTCTCAGGCCCTGAACCAACTTGTTCCACAGGCCAGTTTGACAAGATGAAGTCCCCATTTGAGTGGGACATTGTCACACGTGGACTGGTGGCCATGACAGTTGAGGGCTTCGTGGGATTCTTCCTCACCATCATGTGCCAATACAACTTCCTGCGGCAGCCACAGTGAGTGGAGAGTGTTGGGCCGTGGCAGGGACGCTTAGGAGGGGTGGGTGGCATGGCCAGGCCCTGCCAATTGTACTGCCCTAGACGCCTGCCTGTGTCTACTAAACCTGTGGAGGATGATGTGGACGTGGCCAGTGAGAGGCAGAGAGTGCTCCGTGGGGACGCTGACAATGACATGGTCAAGATTGAGAACCTGACCAAGGTGGGCTCTGGGCTGTGGGAAGTCGGTGGGGAGCGGGGTGGGGAGTGGGTTCCAGCAGTGGGGTGGAGCCAGGCCAGGCAGGAGCCCCATCCTTTGCTGAGCGGGAAGGCTCTTTGGCCAGGTGTACAAGTCTCGGAAGATTGGCCGTATCCTAGCGGTGGACCGCCTTTGCCTGGGAGTGCGCCCTGGAGAGTGCTTTGGGCTCCTTGGTGTCAACGGTGCAGGAAAGACCAGTACCTTCAAGATGCTGACAGGGGATGAGAGCACTACGGGGGGCGAGGCCTTCGTCAATGGACACAGGTGGAGTTACTGGGCCCCTGGGACGCGCTTGTAGGGAGGTGTGGATGTGTGTGTGCCTTTGTGTGACTGCTTCCAGGCACTCAGCAGCGGGGGCTGGGGTTGAGGTGGTGACCCCGGTCCTCGGGTGCAAAGGCGCGTGTGTAGACGTAGGAGTGGGATGGCCGTGTCCCCAGGGTGTGGGAGGGCAGGTGTGGGGTGAGCATATCCCTCCTGGGCATTGATCATCCTCTGTCCCCAGTGTGCTCAAGGACCTGCTTCAGGTACAGCAGAGTCTTGGCTACTGCCCGCAGTTCGACGCCCTGTTTGATGAGCTCACAGCTCGCGAACACCTCCAGCTGTACACACGGCTGCGTGGCATCCCCTGGAAGGATGAAGCAAAGGTGAGGACGAGCAGTAGCTGGTGTGTGCTTGGCGAGTGTGTGGAGCGGTGGGCCCGTGCCGGTGGGTAAGGCTAAGCCCGCGCCTCACGTTGGCCCGCTAGGTGGTGAAGTGGGCCCTGGAGAAGCTGGAGCTGACCAAGTATGCAGACAAACCAGCTGGCACCTACAGCGGGGGCAACAAGCGGAAGCTGTCCACGGCCATTGCGCTCATTGGGTACCCTGCCTTCATCTTTCTGGTGAGTCTTGGGGGCTTGGGAGACAGCTACCCCATTTGGTCTTTCTGTGAGTTTGAGGTTAAGGTGCCCCGCCTTCTTCTGCTTCCGGGTGAGCCAGGGAATAGACTGGTAGAACCAGTTTGGGTGGGCCGTGTCACTGGATGAACTGACCCCTGCCCTAGGATGAGCCCACCACCGGCATGGACCCTAAGGCCAGGCGCTTCCTGTGGAACCTCATCCTGGACCTCATCAAGACAGGACGCTCAGTGGTGCTGACGTCACACAGGTGTGCCTCTTCCCGAGCCCTCCGTGGGCCTCTGGCCGGCCCTCTCCCCGAGCCCTCCGTGGGCCTCTGGCCGGCCCTCTGGTGCCAGCCTGTGCTGTCTGCCCACAGCATGGAGGAGTGCGAGGCTCTGTGCACGCGGCTGGCCATCATGGTGAACGGACGGCTGCGCTGCCTGGGCAGCATCCAGCACCTCAAGAACAGGTGAGTCAGACAGGGCTGCAGGCAACAGGGCCAGCCGTCAGGCACACAGGGCTCCCGGCCACCCCTGTGTCCCACCAGGTTTGGGGATGGCTACATGATCACCGTAAGGACCAAAAGCAGCCAGAATGTGAAGGATGTGGTGCGGTTCTTCAACCGGAACTTCCCAGAGGCCATGCTCAAGGTGGGTGTGGTCGGACGGAGTAAGGGCGAGGGTGGGCCCGGTGGTTCTGGCAGCCGCTGACCTCCGCGGTCCCCTGCTCTCCTCCCAGGAACGCCATCACACGAAGGTGCAGTACCAGCTCAAGTCAGAGCACATCTCTCTGGCTCAAGTGTTCAGCAAAATGGAGCAGGTAGTGGGTGTGCTGGGCATCGAGGACTACTCGGTCAGCCAGACCACCCTGGACAACGTGAGTGTGCCGCACGGGATGGGCGTGTGCCTTCCAGGGTTTGCCCGTACCACTTAGGCCGCCGCCCGCTGTCCGCAGGTGTTCGTGAACTTTGCCAAGAAGCAGAGTGACAACGTGGAGCAGCAGGAGGCCGAGCCCTCCACCTTGCCGTCCCCACTTGGACTCCTCAGCCTACTGAGGCCCCGCCCTGCACCCACGGAGCTCCGGGCGCTGGTGGCTGATGAGCCTGAGGACCTGGACACGGAAGATGAGGGCCTCATCAGCTTTGAGGAAGAGCGGGTGAGTGGTCAGCCAGCCATGCTCCCGCGCAGGCTGCCCAGAGGATCGGGCTGCAGGACCTAAGTGAGGGAGCCAGCTGTAGATATGCCTGCTTTCTAGAATCGTGGGACCGACAGGGGCTCGTACAAACGCTGAGGACTCGAGTGGATATGGGGAAACTGGGGTGGGCAGGAACCAAATGCAGAGTCCAAAACACACTGGCAGCTTTGAAGACCCCAGATCAAGAGGCGGGGATTGCAAGAAACCAGAGACTAGGGAGTGACTTAGACTGTGGCCACCACACTGGGCCAGAGGCCAGACACCGAGGAGTGCTTAGTGGGGAGATACGAGTACTCTTCCCCTAGCCAGCCAGGGCTAAGGTCTGTGTGACCCACTGGGGTACTGAAGATGCCTTCCCAAGCCCGGTGTGTCTGCTCTTCACCAGGCCCAGCTTTCCTTCAACACGGACACACTCTGCTGACCATCAGGAACCACGTCAGGGATGCAGCTGTGGGGGCCAGAAACCAGGCGGTGGCCGTAGCCCCAGTCCCACATGCCGGGCCCTGGAAAGGCAGGTTCAGGACCAAAGGGCTCCCGCCCTCCTCCCAACTACCACCATCCTCGCCTCATCCTGCGGTCACTCTGGCCGCCCTCCCCCAATTGTGCCAAAGGCTGGCCTGGCCCCGGGCTGCACACACCCTCACCCTGCTTTGCCTTAAAGCCTTGGGTCTTGGCCCAGCCCCTTACCCTACCCGGCACCATCCACCTTCCCAGGGTGACATGGGCTGCCCCAAGCATCCTGTGACCCTTCTCTGCAGCGGCCCCAAGTCTGCCCAGGCCAGTGTCTTGCACAGGTGTCTTTTCATGGGCACCCCTGACTGCAGGAGGGGGCTGGGCAGCCTGCCTACTTACTTTGCTGTACGAGCCTCCCTCACTCTGCTGTTGGGAAGAAGTTAGGCTCCCGTGGGAAGTCATGGATGTGGTTGCCCCGCCCTGGTGGACAAGTAGGAATGGAGAAGCTGAGCTTGCTGGCCAGGTGAGGGGCCACTGCTCCCTCCCTGCCCCCTCAAGCTGCCTTTGCTCTCCCGTCCTGCTTGGCCATCCAGGTGGGTGGCGGGACCTTGTATATAGCGCACAGATGTTTGTTTTCAATAAATAAGCAAAAAAGCCTGCGGTATCCTGTGCCTGCGACAGAGGGAGTTGGGGTAAAGGCAGGCCCACTGGGCCGGGGAACAGCCTAGTCTGACTGTACCAGGCGTGAAGAGAGAGGCTGCTCCAAATGGGGAGAGATGTGTCATTATTCCCCTCCCTGCCCACACAGCCTAGACCCCGGCTCACCCAGCACTGGCGCTGTCCCTCCCCATCTTAGCCTCCCCCACAAGGCCTGTTGCCCACTGTGAGCCTGTTTCTTCTGGGCTCTCTTGACTTCCTGAAGAGTAGAGGAGGTTCCAGAGAGATGGCCTCCAGGAGTCTGGGTGCAGAAGCATTTCCTAAAGGTGGTGGCCCTGTGCTAATTAATGGGCGTCTGGTGAGATGAAATCCATCCCTCATATTGGCCCTGCCTGGACGTGAAGTGATTCAGTGTACAGAAAGGCCCCAAGGGAAACAAGATCCAGGGGGAGCAGGGCCCAGGAGAGATGGGGTCTGGGAACTCTGTGTACGCCGGGCAGGAGTCAGGACAACAGGATGAAGGTTTCTCAGACTCACTTCCATCTTGTTCAGGTTCCCACCTCAGACTTGTCCAGTGCCCAGGGATTAGGGACAGAGGATAGAGGGCTGCCTGTCGCCGTGAGGGAGTGGGGAAAGAGCGAAGGAGGGAGGGTGGGAGCAGCCAGGGGCCATGGTCTGTGTCCCGTGGGCTGTGAAAGCTGCATGGCCCCCTGCAGTTCCCAGAGGCTGGCCAGAGCTGGTTTCTAGGCCAGAGGGTGGAGGTTTCCCTGGCCTGGGAGGCAAAGCAGGAGAGAGAGGGTGAGCTTGTTAAGAACCAGGAATGGGGGCTCTGTGGGTAAGAGCACTTGATAGTCTTTTTTTTTTTTTTTTTTTTTTTTTTGGTTTTTTGAGACAGGGTTTCTCTGTATTGTCTTGGAGGCTGTCCTGGAACTCTCTTGGTAGACCAGGCTGGCCTCGAACTCACAGAGATCCACCTGCCTCTGCCTCCCAAGTGCTGGGATTAAAGGCGTGCGCCACCAATGCCTGGCCACTTGATAGTCTTATAGAGGATCAGGGTTCAGTTTCCAGCACCCATGCTGGGTTGTTCATAATTATCTGTAATTACAGTACCGGGATCTGACACCTGGCTTCCACAGATACCCAGACACATGTGGTATACACGCACAGATATATGTATTTACACGTAAGTAAAAACTAATTCCAAGAGTTTGGCGAGAAGGCTCAGTAGTTAGCACTTCCTGATCTTCCATAGGACCGGAGTTCAGGTCCCAACACTCATGTCAGTGGGATATAACCTCCTACAACTCCAGCTCTAGAGGATCCTAAGTTCTCTTTTGGCCTCCTAGGCACACACACACACACACACACACACACACACACACACACACACACGCACGCACGCACGCACACACACACACACACACACACACACACGAATTTCAAACTCTGCAGTGGTGGTGGTGCACACCTTTAATTCCAGCACCTAGGAGGTAGAAGCAGGCAGATTTCTTGAGTTTGAGGCCAGCCTGGTCTACCGAGTGAATTCCAGGACAGCCAGGGGTACACAGAAAAACCCTGTCTTGAAAAACCAAAATAATTTAAATAATTAAAAAAAATTTTAAGAAACCTAAAATGCTAGGCTCTTGGCATGGGTCTGTAACCCCAGCTATTGGGGTGATGAAGCGGAGCTTCAAGCTCAGGTCCGTCTGGCTCACAAACCGAGTCAAGGCTATCCTGGACAACTTAAAAAGACCAAGCTGCGAGTGGTGTCGCATACATTTAATCCCAGCACTCGGAAGGCAGTGGCAGAGGCAGGTGGATTTCTGTGAGTTCGAGGCCAGACAGAGCTACATAGTGAGACTATCTCAAAATAAACAAAATGAAAAAGGGGCTTGGGGTAGCCCAGTGGTAGAGCACCTGCCTAGCATGCTTGAGGCTCTAGGTTCGATCTGCAATACCATCAACACAACAGCGAATGTGGCAGGTACCTGAGGTCTTCCTCTTGTCTCCACACGCACTATAGGATCCTGAATTCCAAAAGAGAATCCAGAGCCTGGTCTCCAGATCCCAGTGAAGTACACTAATTCCTGCCCTTAAGACAGGCCATGGATTTGGTTGAATTGCTTTAAGCTTCTGAATTTGTGACAATCTTAAGGCATATCCCACCATCTTATTTTTGAAACTTGCAGAACAGTTGCAAGAAAAGAACAGTGTGCACCCTATGCCCTCTGCACAAGCTTGTGGTTTGGAACACTCGGGTTTTTTTTTTAAAGACAGGGTTTCTCTGTGTAGCTCTGGCTGTCCTGGGACTTGATCTGTAGACTAGGCAGGCTAGTACTCACAGAGATCCACCTGCCCCTGCTTCCTGAGGGCTGGATTAAAGGCGTGCCCAACCTATGGTTGTTGGCACAATCAGTAGGCACTGTTCTTGTGCTAACCCATCAGGAAGTGAGTAGCTGCCCCTTCCCCCAAATGCAAGGACCTCTCTCTCTGGGACAACAAGGACACAGTGCTGTCACCCCAGTCTGAGGCATTTCCTATGTCACTATAAAAAAATCTCCAGGACACAGGTGCTATGAGACTCCATGTCAAGCCCAGTAGTTACCCAGCGCCCCCCAACTCCATGGTCCCTGGGGGTGGCCTGGCATGAAGTCGGGGTTCTGAAGGACTTGCTTTCTCAAGTTTCCAATAGTAATAGTGAAGCACTCTGGTGAGTAGGTGAGATTCATACCACACAGTGTAAAACAGGAAAGAACAGCTGAGTGTCTTAGTTTGCTTTCTATTGCCATGATAAACAGCGTTGCCAGAAGGAACTTAGGGACAAAAGGGTTCATTTCATCTTACAGTTTGTCACTGAGGGAAGCCAAGGCAGAAACCTGCAGGGGGGAACAGAAGCAGAGGCCACGGAGGAGCACCCCTCCTGGCTTGCTTTCCAGATTTGCTCAGCCTGCCCAGAGGGGGCACCACCCACAGGGGGCTGGGCACACCTTTTTTTTTTTTCTTTCCGAGACAGGGTTTCTCTGTATTGCCTTGGAGCCTGTCCTGAAACTGCTCTGTAGACCAGGCTGGCTTCGAACTCACAGAGATCCGCCTGCCTCTGCCTCCAGAGTGCTGGGATTAAAGGCATGCAGCACCAACGCCCAGCTTTGGGTACACCTTCTTATATCAACCATTAATAAATAAAAAAAAAGTGGCCCACAAACTTGCCACAAGGCCAATCTAATGGAGGTGTTTTCTGAATTGAGGCTTTCTCTTCCCAGATGTTAACTTTGTCATGTTAACACCAAACTAGCCAGCACATTAGGTTTGGTGGTGATACCTGTAACCCCAGACCTCAGAGGAGGATCAGGGGTTCAAGGCCAGTGTGGACTGCAGAAGACCCTGTCTAAAAACAAAAACAGGAAAGACAGAAGAAGAAAAGACTCCCCTGCCTCTGGGACCAGTTAGAGCTGTATTTCCTTGTGCTCCAGCCGTCTCTGACACAGTCACTCACCTTTTCTTCCTCCCCTCAGCCAGGACAGGTTTGACAAGGGCTGAGATCTGGGTGGGTCTGATGATTTCCTGGGTCAGATGCAGTTGGACACTTTTGGGAAGAATGCTATGGACTATGATATGCCTATGGCCAGGAGTCCTGGTGAAGGCATATTCTGGAGCATGGTTTCAGCTTCCCACTGGGGACCTTTCTCTTTTAGCAGTGAGACACTGAGGCAATGGCCCGTTTCCCAGAGCTGGTGGCCATTTCATTTTCTGCATGTTAGTTGGCATTCTCACAGAATCCCCTCTGCTTTAAAAATTGTGTCACTGTGGACCTCTGCACTTAAATTTTTTCCGTGTGTGTGTGTGTGTGTGTGTGTGTGTGTGTGTGTGTGTGTGTGCTTAACCCTGCATGTGCCATGCATGATCTTGGGTTGATTCCCCTTTAACCATCAGCTCCAGGGATCAAAAGTGGGTTGTTAAGCTTGTGTTTGAATGGCAAGTACGTTCACTAAGCCATCTTGCTGGGCATTGCTTTTGGCTGTTGTTTGTTTTTGAGATAGCATCTTTGTGTAGCCCAGGCTTTGTGTCCCTAAAGCTGGGATTATAGGCAGACACCGCCATGCCTAGCTTGGGTTGGTCTGCCAGGCTCTGACAGAGCTGCCTCTGCTTTGTGGACCACATACAGATCGGCCCTTCCTCCCTTCCCCTCTGGGACTTCTCTAGTGGCTCAGAGGGCTGGGGGCCCATAAATGATACATTGATTTCTTCATAGTTCTGAAGACTAGGAGTCTAAGGCCAGAATTCTCTATGTGGGATTCTGATGGGTCTCCTTTGTAAGATTACAGGTCCTACTCACGAGGGCTCCACCCTTTTGGGGGGGGCTCCACCCATTTACTCAAATCAATCAGCTCTGATAAGCCCCGCCTCCTATTCCTTTACCATGTCAGTGAAGGTTTCAACATTGAATTCTGGGGAGACATGGCATGGTAGAGCCCTTTGGGGAGACTGAGGATCTTGGTACTAGGTCTACTATGGGAATGTCACTACAACTAGGAACTTTCTATAGGCAGAGCTCAGAAATATCTGAGCAAATCCCTACTGATACCCCAATGTTTGTGTCTCCCTTCAGAACACAGATGTTAGGGGACAGTGGCACACACCTGTAACCTCAGCACTTGAGAAGTGGATGTAGGAAGATCAGGAGTTCAAGGACAGCCTGGGATACATCAAAACAAAGCAATACAAAACAAAATAACAACAACAAAAACTATGTACAACAACAGGATTTTTAGCACATGCCTTTAGTCCCAGCACTCAGGAGGCAGAGGCAGGTGGATCTCTGTGAGTTCGAGGCCAGCCCAGTCTACAGAGCTAGTTCCAGGACAGCTAGGGCTGTTACACAGAGAAACCCTATTTAGAAAAAAACAACAACAAAAAAGAGACAATTTTGATTGCATCAGGAAGTCAGAGGTATAAGGAAGGAGACGTGAACCTGTCTTGGGACTAGCAGCCCATAGAGGAT